AGTAGGAGATGAATATATTAGTCAGAAAGGGGTTAGGATTTCAAAAAAGGGGGCCTAAAAAGTTGATTGTATACGGTGCAGACAGAAATGCTCAGTCAAAATTTTAGAAGATAGAAGAAAGGATATTTGTGATGAATATTACAAGTTGGGAGATAGTAAAAGACAGAAGGATTTCATTTGCGCATTGACATTAGAAGTGGATATAGCTAGGAGACGAAAAAGAAAGGAATCGAGCAGCAAAAACAGAGACAAAAACTATCAGTATTTTCTTCCAGTAACGGACACAGAAAATGTTCGTGTATGTAAGTTGTTCTTCACCAAAACACTCAGTATAAGTCATTCCATGGTAACAAATGCTCTCAATAGTAAAGGTGTAACTGGAACCTACATAGGAACAGATAAACGTATTAATAAAGCAGCCCCAAATAGAATTCCAGAAAACAGTATAACTGTAATCAAAGATCACATGAATTCATTCCTACGAATTGAACCACATTACTGCCGAAAGGACACAACTTGTCAATATTTAAGTCCAGAATTAAATACCTTGATTTCTGTAAAGATAGGGAGGTGGAACCTGTAAAAGAGTCCATGTATCGCCATATTTTTGTTATGCAGTTTAACTTGAAATGTTTTGTACCAAAGAAAGATCAATGTTCAATATGCAGCAGATGATGATGGTAAAAGTCTGGAATGAACATAAAGCAAAAGAAAGAGAAGCATTAGAAGAAAATAACACAGACAAAGAGCAGGCTAAGATAGACAATACACTCCACACTGTGTCATTCGATCTTCAAGCAGTTCTCAGAACTCCACATGCAGGTGATGCACAGATCTATTATAAACGCAAATTGTCTGTTTACAACTTCACCGTGTATGAAAACCATACAGCAAATGGACACTGTTTTGTTTGGGATGAGACAGAAGGTGGCAGGGGGTCTAATGGAATAGGTTCCATTCTGTTGAACTATTTGTCCAGTTTACCTGAGAGTATTTCACATTTTACAAGTTTTTCTGACACATGTCGTGGTCAAAACCGCAACCAATTTATCATGGCCGCCATGCTGTTCGCTGTGCAGCATATACCCCATTTGAAGATTGTGGATTTGAAATATATGGAATCAGGGCATAGCTATCTTGAAGCAGATTCCATGCATGCAACAATAGAGAAAGCTAAACGTCATCAA